GGGGGGGGGGCAGCAGAGGGCCGGGGGCCCGGGGTCACGGGGAGGGCTAAAGCGGCCTGGGGGAGGTTGGGGCGTGGGGAAGGCAGCATGGGGGGCAGGAGCGCCTAGACTGGCAACTGTCCCGGACTGTGTGGCAGCCCCTGCCGAGGCCAGGAGGCCGAATTGTGGTGGCGCCTGGCTTCCTTGGCGCGAGGCAGGTGCACCCATGCCACGTGCGGGGCTTGAGCCCAGCTAAGCGCGCGGAAAATACGGGACCTCGCATACCACCAGCCCCCTCCCTAGCCACCCAGCCGCCATCCATCTGGCAACAGCCAGTTGCTCCACTGCCCTGCTGCAAACACCAGCGCGAAGCCGCCGCTCCCCAAACAACGGCGCCTGACGCCAGGCGCCGCTGTCTGCCCTCCTCCTCCAAACACCAGCCCCGTCTCCCCGCCCCCTCCCGCACCTCCAGGTCCTCCATGAAGCCGCCAAAGCCGGCGTCATCCGGGAACCTCAGGGCAAACAGCCGCCCGCCCGCCGCAAACGTGACGCGGCGCGCCCCCCGGTCCGCCACATACTGCAGCGCCTCGTCAGCACGCGCATCGACATCGCCGGCATCGATCTGCGTCAGGAAGGGAGCCGTGCTCACGCGCGTGCTTGTGTGTGGGTGAAATATCTTGAGCATCGGTGCAAGATGAAAAGGCAGGCAAAAGAGCAAGGGTTTTTGCTTGAAACTCAGGATAACAGCAGGCAATTGGCCACCCAGCAGCCTTGAAAGCGTCGCTGCGCCCAGCGGCGCCGCGCGCACCTCGAGCATCCACTCGGGCTTGCTGCGGCCGCCGCCGCCGCCCTCCCCGTTAGCGTCGTAGAAGGTTGGGGCCGCGTGGCCCGACAGCAGCGACCAGGAGGCGGCGCCTGAGGCGGCGCGCACAAACTCATAGAGCTTGATTCCTGGGGGGGCCTGGGAAGGGGGGTGATCCCAGGAGGCAGGCAGGGGGTGGGGCCGGGGAGGGCGCTGCGCATCAGCCCGCGGGCAAGCGGGGGCTGTGCGGATGCTCGCGGGACGGACGGGCGCAGCATGTGTTTCGCGGCCGCCTGTGAGGCAAGCAGCCTGCAGGGCTGCTGCTGCTGCTGCTGTGCTCATCCTACAGTACAGTGAAATTTTCCGGCCGGGGCATGCGGTGCTGCTGCTGCGGCTGTATGTCGACAAGGGACAGCACGGCAATCGACCGCCGGTACTCGTTTGCATTCATGCAGCCAGGCCGCCTGCTTGGCTCACCTGCGCCTCCCCCGCCTGCTGCTGCTCCACTTCGTCCACCGCCTCTTGCAGGGCGTCGGTGCTCGTGGTGTTGCCCATGGCTGCCCTGCGTGCTGTGCAGCGCGTGATCAGCCGCTACGTGCCCGTGTGTGCTGCTGCGGTGCGTACACGATGGAATCGCCGCGTGGCACGGTGTATTCCCAGAAGTTTGGGGTTTTCAAGTATGAGCTTGCAGCTGATTCAGGACACTTGATGATTGTTTTACGCGCGCTTCAAGCTGGATCACATATGCCGCCCAAGCCGAATGAGTACGATGCACAACAGGCGCCCAGAGCATCATCACAGCATCGAGATCAACAAACACACCCCGTCGAGGCGTGCGTTGAAATTTGCTGATTAGTCACTGTCCGACCTGCCATGCCGCCCTGCACAGCCTCCTCGGATGTGGCTCTCACACATACATTTGCCTACTGGAATATATGCATCACAACAAACGCGTCACATGCGTGTTCGGTGCCGATCTCAACCCAACTGTATTAGCAGTTTACAGGCCCGAGGCGCGTCAGCGCCAGGGCCCGCCTTGCACGCCCTGACATGGGTCTTCGAGAGCTGAGCGGCGCGTATGCGTTCTTGGGCCTCTACCTAGAAGTGCTGACAGTGCACACACGTCCAGGACGAGGGCGCCTGGCCGCTTCACTGCCGGCCCTGGTTGTATGCCTGTGCTCGCCGGCCATGGTGCCATGGGTGAGCAATTTTGATCGGCCCGACAGCATGGTCGAGGCGGGGCGTAACTTGCGATCGGCACTTGATGAACCTGCAGCACAAAGTCGCTATTGATTGGCACTATTGACCCCCATACTGCAGGGGATATTACCACGCATCGTGGTAGGATGCTGCACGATGTGGCTGACTTGTTTCAAGGTGAAACGGGCCGCACGCGGTAGCGAGCATTGCGGCTGAAATTGCAGGTTTGCAGCGCCGGCTGCATGTTGCGGGGTCGGGCAGGTGCGATGGCACCTAGATGAAAGCTTGTGAAATCGCAGCGGCCCCGCCGCCTCGGCAGCCCCGCCCCTGGGCGACGAGCCTCGTCATCAACGGACGGCAAATGCCCGCTCTACGAGTAGTACCAGGTGTCAAGGGCTGAAGGGCATGAATTTCATCGGCAATATCTCCATCAATGCATCCCTTGCCCCTTTCCATCACCGTTCCCCCCAACGTGCCAACGTGCACGTACACATGCGCGCACCCATACACACACATGCGCGCACACACACACACACACACACACACACACACACACACACACACACACACACACACACACATATACACTGGACAGCTGGTCGCCTTCGCCGCAAATCGCGGTCCCCTGGCACGGCCTGACCTGTCCCGCCTCCAGCGGACGCTGCTGCTACTTCTGCCCATCCATCCCCGCACGCCGCGATGGGGTGCGACAACCTCGCATGCCCCCGTCTCAGCCGCACGCGTCGCCGATGCGTGCAGGCCGTGACGGCCGCTGTGCCTTTGTAGCGGGTGCCCGCCCCGGTGCGTGTTGGCGAACCACAGCGGGAGTTTCTGGGGCGTGGCGCACGTTGCGCAGGACGGCAGCCGCATCCCAGGCACACGGGGTGAACTTCCGCGGCCCTGCGCACACCCGGCATCAGCTGGCAACCCCAGCCCCCCCCCCCCGCACATGCCCCTCACCCCTGCCTGCTGGCCCTCAGGCGAGCCCCCCACCGCGGCCTGGACCTGCGCGGTGCTGCTGGGCAAGGTGGCGCTGCAGGCGGTGGTGGTGACGCTGCTGGCCAACCTGGAGATGCACCGCTTCCTCATGCACAGCCTGTGGGGTGAGCGGCCTTGGAATGGAGGTCAAGCATTCACCTGATGGAATTGCACTTGCCAACCCAACATGCACAGTTGCGCCGGTTGTAATCCTGCGGCGAGGCGGCGTTGACGCGGTTCCACCCACTGCCTGCAGCCGTGTGCATCTGGAACCTGGTGGCCATGGCAGTCGATGCCAGCGCACCCTTTGTGCAGGTGGGTTGGGTGGCGACACTGGTGGCACATGGCACATGCAGGCTTTTGCCCAGCCCTGCCTTTCCTGGTTTGCCAAGCCGCGCCAGTCTGCTGCTTTGCTTGTCTTGCGTGAATGCAGGCAGGATGCAGCACACGCCACTGTAGCCCCCTTCTCCCCCTTGTCACACACAACACCCGCTCCATCCCACCGCCCCTACTGCCACGCAGTACGCTATGGGCATGCCCCTCAACCCCTCCATGAACCAGCCCTACCTGTCTGTCACAATCCAGGAGTTTTGGTCACAGCGGTGGGCATAACTCATTCATGGACAGGACACAATGGCTGTTTTTGGGGCTGCCTCCCGCCTCGCACCTGTGCAGGAGTGGGCCGTGCGCCGCGGCCCGAAACACCACCATGCTCAAAGTGTTTGGCCCCACACGCGATCTTGTGTTTACCCTGACATCACGTGTGTGCGTGTTGACGCTGAATCCTCGGCCGCAGGTACAACCTCGTCACCACGACGTGCCTGCGCCAGACCGTTTACGAGCCGATCACAGAGCGCGCGTTCACGAGGCCAGCAGTCCCGTCACGGGAAATCCCTGAATCCGTCCCAGATGCGGAGGTGCTCGTTTGCGGCGGCCCCTGCGCCCCGCCGGCCAAGGCCTCCTCTCTTGCTGCTGACTGCGGCTGCGAGGGCGACGGTGGGGACGCAGCGCCAAGCAGCAAGGCGAGCAGCGATGGGGGCTCCTCCTGTGGCGGCACCTTGAGCAGTAGCAGCAGCACCAACACCATCACCAGCAATGCGCACGGCGTTTTTGCCGGCGAGGCCGTGGCAGCGCCGGCTCGGACAGGCCTGCGCAATCGGCGCGTGATTCAGGGTGTTGCAGGTGCGGCGGCGGCTGCGGTGCCACAGCAGGAGCGGGGCGCAGGGTCTGGCAGCGCTGGTTGCATTGGGCTGGAGACGGCGGCCCCTGACAGTGCGCCCCCTGAGTGGCTCAAGAGCCTGGCTACGCTGATGGTGTTTGTGGCCAGCGGCGTGATGCATGAGGCCATCATCTGGTGAGGGGCGACTGCATGCGGGCCTGAAATGATGACGGATGGCTGGCCGCCTGGTCAGACTGCTTTTTCAAAACGCTCTCAACGCATGTCCTGCCGCGCTGCTGCGGTGGGAAGACTTCCAGTGATCACTTCCGCGACAGCTTGCACCTTATTGGCGATTTGACCCAGGGCCGCGTTTGCTCTCTCTCCTGATTGTCCCCTTCCCCCTCCCGGGTGCACCGCCGCTCTCCTCACCGGCAGGTACATATGCCCCGCTCCTGGGAGCGGTGAGGGCGCATACGTGCTTGGCCCAGTCCTGCTGTTCTTCACATTGCAGGCGCGTAGGGGTGGCTGTACGAGGCGTGGCGCCGCGGTGTGGGGGGCGCTCCTGCGCTCAGGGCCAATGGGCGAGCGCCGTACGGCGACCTTGTCGGTGGCTGCCTTCCTTTGGCGCGATAAAAGAGGAAGATGCATCAGCAAGAGGCGCCCCGTCGATCCTAGTCAATGCCGGCAGACCACCCGCTGCTGGACTCACCTGTTTGACAGTCCGAACGGCCCCCCACCTTTTAGAGCGCCCCGCGTAGCTGCCGGCTGCTCAGCTGCGTGCACCGCCTCATGCTGATCACGAGCCTTGCTCCCTGATGCGCAGGCGCCGGCCATGCAGGCGGAGAAGTGGGTGCTGAGGGCAATCACGGGCCTGCGTCCTGCTGCCGTCCGCCTCCTCACCGGCGGCCGCAAGGACGCCCTCTGCTCCTGCAAATGCGAAGGGCGCCACGCCCGCCGTCGGCATCGCCCACGCAGCGCTGCGGGCGCTGTGGCACGCAGCGCGCGTGGTGCTGGTGTATGCGTGGCTGTGGGGGCTCGCTGACGTCACCTTTTGGAGGTCGACCGAGGCCTGCCGCCTGGAGCAGCGCGCGGTGCCGGAGCTCGAGGCGGGGCTCGCGGCGCTGAGGGGCGCGCTACTGCGGGCCTCAGGCGCGCTGCGGCTGACAACGCAGCCCTAGGCTTTGCGGAGGGCGTGCGGCAAGCTTCATCAATGCTCCGCTGAGTTCGTCCGCCGACTGGTGCTGGAGACGGCGTTTCCATCCTCTGACTCATCTGAGAAGCTGGCTGGCGCTGTCGTCGCCAATCACCGCGGCGCGGGCACGCTTGGGCTTCAGCCCGTCTAGAATCACTGCTGCTTAGCCGCTGTTTGAAGGTGGATTTGTCTTGCAATTGCCTGTCAATTGAGTGCAGGGGTACATTGAGTGCAGGAGTGTTGAGCGACCGCTTGTGGCCGGCTGCAAATTGTTGATTGCGGCCTTCATCAGGCTGCGACCCAAGGGCTTGCCCTCCCGCAAGATGGTGGGTGCGCCCGCAGCACCATGCATGGCCAGCGCGCACACCCCTGGCCTGCTCAGCCCGTCCGGATGCTGAGTGGCATTCTCACAGATTGGTGAGGGTGTGCGCGAGAGCGAGGGGTCACAGGAAGACCGCCTACAGCGCCCCTCTGTTGGCCGTCTGGCTGCTGCCTCTCTTTGCAAACTTTTGCTTTGCTCGGTGCTGCGTGCTGATCAGTGCGTGAGTGGTGTGTCGTTTTTGCAGTTTTCTTGCGCAGCCCCCCCCCCCCAAATGCACTACCCCAAAGTTCCATCCCTCCTGACACGCTGTGCGCTCTCCTGGCAGCAGTAGACTGCGAGCCTCACACATCGTTTTTTCACTTCATCCAGGCGGGCTTTGGTTTTAGCCATGCAGCACGCACAATTGACATGGCAATGCAAGACTCCCAGGCGCCGACCAATGCACCGCGCGTTCACATCCTGCCCAACCTACCACCCGAGTTCGTGCCCCAAGAGGGGCGGATCCTGCGGCAATAAAACGCGTGTGTTGGTGCATTTGTGTGGTGATGGGCGGCAAAAGGTGCCACGCCTTGGTTTCCCCACGCACCCCCCGCGCAGTTGCTCTCACAAGCAGCGCTGTAGTTCAAGTTGATGCCAAGAGGCCCACACATGCCCTTTGGCAAACCCTGGACCGCTTTTGCGGGCACAAGCCAGTGTTTGAGGATTGAAGCAGCACGACTGCTACAATAATGCTGGCGCATTTGTGTGTGTCGGCGGCGGAGGGGAGGCACCTCCCGGTGGCACACAGCCATGAATCCCGTCACAAGCAAGCTACCTGCGCCTTTTGTTTGTGTACTTGCGCATAATGTGTATGTGGGGCCGCAGGCTGCGCATTCAGGCTACGGCTCTGCAATTGTTTGCGTGCCTTGCGAACTCTTGCATGCCGACACGCACCGCAAGATGTGGGGACCCCACCAGCCACTCGCTCGAATGGGATGCTCACAACAAGCAACGCAACGCACACGATACGACACCGCCAACAATGTGTGTACAGATGGACGCGGTTGTTATGTTTTGCAACACCTGACGCAACCCACCGCACAAGTGCCAGCTCAGCCGTTGGTGCGGGTTTGCCGTATCCGCAGTGCGACTGGGCGCTCACTACTCTGTGTGCATGCTTTGACTTTGTGCCACTTGCAAGGCCGGCAGGCGGCGCATAACGCCTACTCGGCTGACTTACAAGACTGAGCGGCTACGTCAAGACACCCTGCGTTGCACCCCAACCATGTGCATGGCACCAAATGACTGCGCCCGCTCCAACGACGCACATGGTCGCACAGAAACCACCGACACTCTTAGCAGGGTATAGTTGGCCGTGCTCTGCACCCTCTGCGGCAACCCCTGCATCCTTCTTCCGCCACAGTCATTTTCCTGCACCCTCACATTTTCGTGTGTTGTGGATGCTGTGTGCTTGCTTGCATGCTGCTTGCCCGCATGTATGCCTGCGCTTGCTCTGTACATGTTCCTGCAATCTATTCCCGTTGTGCGTGCAGTTTGCGGCATGCAGGGAACGGTCACACCCCACAATTGTAAGTGGTGCCAACCATGTGTCTGCAGGTCTGTGGCGGCATCTTTGTATGCTTAGAGAGAAGGTTGTTCAGTCGGCGGTTTGAGCTGTTTATGGCTTGCATGCGCATGTATCACTTTACCAGCAGGGGCAGCAGGCAAATGGCAGCTGTGATATAGGTGGCGGCAGGTGCAAAAGACAAGGCAATTGCGTGCTGGATTGAGGGCGGTGGGTTTGGGTTTAGGGGCTATTTTGTCCACGCGTGCATGAGCCACCCATCCAGCCACCACCCCGCTGAACGCTTCCCACGCATCAGAGACGCGCCATAAGCGTCGCCCTTTGCATGCATACCTGGAGCTACCTCAATGCCAGGATTCATCTGAGGCACACCTGCGTCGGTATTGCGCAGCCGGATCTGGGATTTTTGAATATGTGGGTACAAGGGGCCCCCCACAGACAATGCATGCGCAGCCTTGGCGCAGTGGCACCTCCTAATGCAGATGCAAGACCTGATGAAAAGAGGCAAGCTGACGGCTGCAGCAGTACCCCGTTCTCCCATACACACGCACAACGGGGGGGCAATCAACAATGCTGTGGAATTCCAGCGTCACTTGGACGAGCAGAGTCGGCCCAGTTCACTCGTGGTTTGAATCCAGATAAGAAGAGTCAATGAGGCAGAACCCATCGTGGGCAACGTACTGCTCGTAACCCAAACACATTTGGGTAGTGACCATGAGCTGAGCAAATTTTACCATGGATGCAGCCACTCGCTGCATGCTGTGCCCCGCCGCACGAGGCAAACAATGATCTTGGTTCCTGCTGCCAATAATTCGTTTGGGGATTCATGTGGCCACCAGCGCTTTGTGTTGGTTGTACGTGCCTGAACTTTTAGTTGGGTACTGCCCGTGTGAGCCAGCAAACCCGAGTTGGGAGCCAGCGCTCGTCCATCCAGCCACCTCCTCGGCGCTTACACCACCATTTGCTGACTTGCACCATGTGGCATGTCTCTAATTATGCGAGCAGGAATAGGTGTAGGTGCTTTTGACACTTGGCTGATCATTCAGTAGCCAAATTGCTCTCGGGCACGATGCCTGTCAGTTGTTGGTGTCCCGAAGTGTCCGTTGGGTGCCGCCCTGTCTCAAGGCAGGTCACCAGTTGGCCACCCATACGGTATCGTCACTCGTTGACCCCACACGGTATCATTTGTTCGCGAGTTGTTGACATGGTCATAATTCCAGTCCATTTGTTGCGAGCAACATCTCATTTCACAAACAGCGAGTTTGAGGCCGCTGGAAGGCCGCTGCTGCCCAGAACAGGTGCGCTCTGCTAGCGTTGCCTGGCAGATCTTGTTGAATACACAAGATTTGGCTAATGATATGTGTGAGGTGGTCTGTGGGACAACGCGCTGCGAGTATACGTCCCCCCCAAACTCGGCCGCGGTCAGTGCCTCCCCCGTGACCGGCCCCCTTTGCATTCGCAGGCCGTGTGAGATTACCTACAAGCGAGCATGCGGCTCGTTAATTTTGGCGTGCTTGGGGCAGCGGAACTGATGCTGCTGTCCCAGACTACGTCGGCTGCCGGTGGCGTGACACCTCAAGTGGTGGGCGGTGGCAACGCCCCCCCAGGCAGGTGAGTTGCCGGTGCCACTTTGACAAGATAAGATTGACGAGTGGACACCAGGGGTCAAGCTTGGGCTGAGCTTGGTTCTTGTGCACTTGCTGGCCTCAACCTTGATGACCCAGGGTTGACGCGGGTGAGGTGATGACACCTCGGCTGCGTGCCCCCCGGTAGCAGGTTGACTCCGAACCCCACTCAAGAGGGTTGAGTATTTCAAAACCTACTTATGAATCTCTTACTTGCATTTCAGGCTCACCCACCAGCTGGGAGTCCTCATCAAGGGTGTGTTGCGGTGTGGTGCTTCCCTGATCCGTGAAGACGTGGCACTTACGGCTGCAAACGTGCGTGAGCAGTCTTCGCGAGGGAGCAGGGGTGGCCGGCCAGGTGGCATTCAACCACGATTTACAGTGCGCTGATGCTTCCATAGCCGTGCACAGCCCCATGAATGCTCCTCCACCATTCCCACTGTGATCATGACCACCAACCTGCTGCTGCAGTGCAAGCCCCAGGTTGGGAAGGTCGACAAAATCTCAATTGCAGCGGGTGAGGTGCCCGCCACGGCACTGTCGTGCTAATGATGCATGCTTGCCTTGTGTACGCCTGCTGTATGTGCGAGTCAGCAGCCCACAATGATGGAGGAGCCCTATCTCTCAGGCCGCAAGTCGCGGCCTTGCTCTGCACAGAACAGTCCTTCATGAAGGACTGCGTACCATGCACCCTGGTCCCGCCCCCTCGAGCTGGGGACAGCCTGCAGCGTGCCTGTCCGTGCACACTTGTTACGCTCTGACCTGCATCCAGCATGAGCGCACCCTGCTCCACCATCACTGCCGCCAGGCTCATACTCCCAGCCCAAGGCTGATTCCCCTGAGGGCCGCAAGTACGCGCTCAAGCGGGTGTGGCAGCACCCCGCCTTCGCCAAGCGAGGCCTCGTCAATGACAGTAGTGAGAATGCCTCTTGGCAGGATATGATTCTAGGACGTCGCTCTCTTCATCTCCTCGGCTCGTTGTCAACGTGGGCGTTTGTTACATCAGCGCTGTGCAACTAGGCTCACACGGCCCCACCCTGATTTGCGCCCGCAGCAAGCAAGCACCCACCCCCTGGGCACTCTCGCGCGCCCCCCACTGCTTCGCCCTGAGTTTGTTTCAGTTGCCCTGGTCTTCTTGACTGAGTGCGTCACTGTTCCCAACACCCGGGTCATCCAGTTGGCCACCAAGGAAGGTGCGCACCGCCAGCAGCGCCCCAGCCCGCTCCGCGACGACGACTGGTGTGGGAAGCTAAAAGGGCGATGTGATGGGGCCGTTGCGCATTTCAGCCCCATGGACGAGTGCTGAAGTGCCATCACGGTCAAGAAGCACACGCCATTGACTGCTGCTGCACGCACGTCAACCCCATGGATCACTTACCAATTTAGAATTGTGTACTGGCCTCCAGATTGCAACCATGCTTGTCGTGCAAGCGGGCTGCGTGCCCCATCCACGCATTTTTATTCATTGCCTCCCACCACATTCCATCCACCCGGCTGCCCGTGTTTGCAGAGCTGAATGCCAACACCTTTGCAACGCCCCTCTTCTCCGGCTGGTGCGGAGCCAATCAAGTGCCATGTAGCTGGCCGTCTGCCGTTTGTCTTGACGCCATCAGCTCTGCCGCGGCGCCATGCCTACGTGTGTGATCAGATGCAGTTCGTAAGCATTGAGACGACGGTTGAAGCGCGGCCAGGCCAAGCATTGCCGTTCACTTGGCTGCACAATCATTCCATACATCGAGAGCAGGGGCACCACGTCCGTCGGGGCGAAGCCCAACGGTCAGGGCGGCGCAACCTCTGCCGTCTTGCGCTATGGGGTGGGCACGTTTTTCACCTATCCTGACTGTCAAGCTTTCGTTGAAGACTTGCCCAAGTTCAAGTATCTCAACCCCAACAGCAGCCTCTGGTGAGTGATGTCACAGGGCAGTATTTCTACAAACAAGGCAGCTAGGCAATACGGCGAAAAGAGCCAGCATACGGAGCCTGTAGTTGATCATCGACAACGTGAATTTCAATTAGCTGGCCGTGGAGAAATGCATCGTGCCTGGTGGCGACAGGTCTCCTGAAGTGTGGCCCTGCCTGCTGCTTGTATGAAATATTTCATATAATCTCGTGCCCCCCAGCTATTTTCAAAGCAAAAATCTGCCAAAAGCTGCTGCGTCATGACCGTACGATAACCCCCATCCTGTCTTCCAAATCTCTCAATTGCATTTTTGCCGAGCAGCATCAGCGGCGAACAAAGCGTGGATGGTAGCACCATCCCCTACCAGGATCCTTGCTCAGGTGCAGTAGCTGCCTGTCACGGGGCTCACGCGTGTCCCCTTTGGCGACGCTGTCGCGTCCCAGCCCCCATCCTCCGATGGCCCACACAATTGGCCATCATCGCACTGCGCTGCGGTCTAAGTGCTGGCTGGCTCCATGACGGGCCCCCATCACTGCCTGCCGCAAGGGTGGGAGCGCTGAGTGCACAACGATGACACAGCATGAACAACTGCTAGTGACAGCAGTCCCAGCTATATCAGTGTTACCCCCCTGCTAATAAATCTCTTGCTATCCCAGGTGACAACGGCGGCCCTGCTATCATCAACGTAGCGAACATTGCCAAGCCCCTCAACGGCTCCGCTACTGATGACCGCCTTGTGGGCGTGATCTCCTATGGGTGCGATGTGCATTCCCTATTCTACTGATGATTGCTTTGCGGGTTTGCTGATGAGAGCGGCAGGGGCCCCCTGTGTTCATCCATGGCCAGTCAATCGCCGTGGTCAATTTCAAGTCCCTCTTTCTTGCACACAGCTTAGTACTTACCCCCCCATGTGCGTGTGCGCTCCTGCCGTGCCCCGTTTGTCTTCACAGTGATGGCTGTGGACAGGTGGAGTCACTGGGTGTCTACGCCAACGTGCCATTCTTCAAGTCTTACCTCGAGGCTCAGATGGACTCTGTAAGTGGCTCGGCCGGCCCGCATGACTGCTTTTCAGTTTGCGTAAAATCCGTCCAGACAGGAGCGGCCTCAGTAAAGATTTGCTGGACCCAGCTAGCTGACGATTGGGTTAGAGAGCGGGGGGTGGGATGCTGATTGTGACGATTTGACATGCCCAGTGAGTGCTGCACAGGGCAGGGCAAGTGAGGGACAGTGCAATTGCAGTAGTTGTAAGCCGCAACAGAATGGGAAGCGCTGACACTCACACACACACACACACACACACGCACGCACGCACGCACGCACGCACGCACGCACGCACACTCACACGCACGCACGCACGCACGCACGCACGCACGCACGCACGCGCACGCACGCACGCACGCACGCACGCACGCACGCACGCACGCACGCACGCTTGCAAGCATGCACGCACTCCGTCTCACACGCATCACATCATACGTACCTTCTCACGTCATTTCTGTACTGCATTTGCACGCGTGCAACCGTGCCACACCCCTCAGGTCCGCAAGCCCTGCGGCAACAATGCAACAGTTGAGTTCGTGCAGGTGTCCAACTCCAGCAACTGGTTTGCCAGGCCCTCAAAGGCTACTAAGCTCAAGGCCGGTCAGACCCTGGCCGACTGCAAGGCCTCATGCCTTGCCCTCATCAATGGGGGCAAGAAGAACTGTGCCGCATTCAGCCTCAGGGTTGTCACGTCGCGCGCCGCCAACACCCTTTACTGTGACATCTACAATGACTGGGTGCCTGAGCGCGTCTGCAATGTCGGCGATGTCAAATTCAACTGCAAGAGGGGCTCCCAGGGCTCCTTCAGGGTGCGCTGGGTCTACACCTGACAAGTCAGGCCCCTGTGGCAATCTCAAACACGACATGTCGCACCCCAAAAACGGGTCACTGACATCACTACGCTGACGCCTCGCGCGGCTAGAAGCCACG